ATGCTCTTTCCTGAAGCGAGAGCCATAAGAAACACTGTTTTGAACGACAGGTGTTTCATATCCGACATCTGGATTGGCTCAAATGGGGCACGTTTCATGACTACCAGAACCGTGGAAAAGGTCCCACATGGGGATTGATGGGAGGATTCAGCCTCTTAGCTCCTTTTAGGAAGCGGACCAGATCGTTTTTCCCTAGACTTTGAGTGTGGATCTCCATCGCTCTTATCCAGCAGCTCTTGAAGGAGGGAGGGAACTCTCCTTCGGAAGCCAGCAAACACCGACCACTTTGAGCCATCGCTGGCACTCTAGCCTGCGCGATCATGTTTAACACTCCCTCAGGAGGTTTACCGGTATCCGTTGATGGCCAATGCGTGCCGCTCCGGGTGAGGATGCCAAATTGAGCCCTCGGCCTGAGAGAGGAGGTCTGTGCTCATTGGTATTTGCCATGGGGCTGTGCTCGTCATCTGCATCAGGACTGGGAACCAGTCTTGGTTTGTCCAGAGCGGAGCCACAAGTAGCACTGAGCATCCAGTTTCCCTGATTCATTCCAACACCTGAGGCAGGAGCGAAGGAGCGAAACTGGGAGAAAGGCGTAGAGTGGGCAGTAGGGCCAGACATGGGAATCCCTGTTCTTGGAGAAAAACTTCGGGCAGTGAGCGTTCTCTTGGGATACAAACAGGTCTACCTGCGCTCTGCCGAATGTCTCCCACGACTGAAGGACCGTCTGCGGGTGCAGTGACCATTCTCCCGCTGGAATATTGTTTCTGGACAGTCTGTCTGGCCCCAAATTCAGGAGACCAGGCACATGTGCTGCTCTCAGAGAGCGCAGATTTTGCTGGGCCCAGACCAGGAGGCGTTCTGTCAACCTTTAAAGGTTTCAGGATTTGACGCCGCTGGCGATTGATGTTGGCTACCACCGACATGTTGTCCGAGCGGACCAAGACATGGCGACCCTTTATTTGGGGACAGAGGCGCCTCAGCACGTTGTGGAAACTTCACTGTCGCACCATGAGTGCAGCAAGCGCGATGACTACACAAACTTAGTCACGGTCACGTTGGAAGCTGGGCACTATTTTCAGGCGCTGCGTCATAACATCGCGCCTGCTGCAATCATGGTACGACAGTGAAGTTTCCTGATTATTACGCAGGAATTAGAGTATAGTTCCTAGTCATATCAGCCTACAAATCGCAACTTTACATTTTCTGTCTGTCTTAGTGCATGATGTAACTATAGAAGAGTCAAGTTTTAAATAGGAAAAATATCGAAACACTTTGGTAATTTTTTTTTAGAAATGCTAATGGTCTTGTGCACTTCAATGATGTATGCTAAGCTATGCTAAAAGTGGTACCGCCAGAACCGGAGATCGGCTGAATGGATTCAAAAAAGGTAAAACTCAACAGTTTAACTCTGGGGGAGTTGTAAAATGAGCGTATTTCCAAAAAAAATGAGTATCCCTTTAATTGAATCTGTTCATCATATAAAGCGATCGTGTCTCTTCAGAAAATTTGGACTAAACCACTCAATTCATATGGATTAGTTTTATGATCTCTTGATGAACTTTTTAAGCATCAAAGTAATAGTTGCGTAGAGTGTCAATGGAGGGACGGAAAGCTCTCAGATTTCATCAAGATCTTCATTTGAGTTCCAAAGATGAACGAAAGTCTTACAGGTTTGGGACAGCATGAGGAATTAATTACTAATTAATGACAGAATTTTAATTTTCGTTGAACTATTCCTTTAAATGTTTTTTTTTTTTTTTTGGTTTATTTGCAGCTAAGAGTTTGGAGTAGCTAGCAGAGTAGTTAGCCACCCCCTTTGTCCTTTATGGGAGAATCATGACATTTTACCTGCTAAATGGAGCTCAATGAATGGTTGGGTTTTGTGTTTAGGACACTCTGGCTTATGCCACAGCTTTACTGAATGAGAAGGAGCAGTCTGGCAGCAGCAATGGATCAGACGGGAGCCCGGCCAATGAGAACTCAGAACGAAGCCTCAGACAGGTCTCATTATTTCAGCAGTCCATCATCAGTTACATCATAAAACAATCAGCAACATTATGCTAAAACATCATAGTGTTTAATAAATCATTATATTAACCATTTCGTCCTCGCTTTCTCTCAGGGATCTGAATCCCCAATGATGCTGGGCGATTCTCGGAGTGATCTAGAAGATGTGGACCCCTAACAATCCTCATTGTTTGTGCGCAACAAAACACACAAAAGAAATCCCTCCGACGGAAAGATGCTGTGGCTCTAAACACACAATAAGAAAACTGCATTTGATCTTCTAGGGACTGGAAATGGAGCAACCAGAAGCAGCCAAAGGGCCCGTCGGAGCGCTCGCTCTTCAAGCCGCCTCGCCGGAGACGTGAACAGACGCGAATATCTCGTTTTTTTTTTTTTGTTTTTTTTTTTTGGTGGTTAAAGCCTGGCTGGATGAAATCAGAGTTCATGTCGTGCAAGTCATTTAGATGTTTCGTCTGACTCGATGAGTTCTGTCAGACGAATGGGACTTAAAAACGAAGGCTTTCATTTCCTTGACGTTTTTACGCAGAACTACTACTATGGTGCCAGACGGGGTGTTTTAAAAGAAATCAGCGTATATTTGCCAATGTAATTAAGTAGATACTATTCATGAGAAATGTAAAGATGTGTTCCATAAGTGTAATTTCAAATGTAAAATAATATTTTTAAGAATCCTTTACTGATTTTCTTTATTTTTTTTCTGAGTCTGTTGAGAGGTGCCTCAAATCTTATTCGAAAAAAAGAAAAAAAAAGGAAAAAAAAGAGGAACTTGCCAAGTCTCTGAGAGTCAAATAATCACACCGTTTTTTTTTCCCCTTCTCGTTTTTGCTGGTATTTTTAAAATGCACTTTATATTTGAATTCAGTTTTGTGACAAATTCATCACGTGGAGACAATTGGAAAGCCATGTCCCTCGCTGCTCCTCTTGTCCAATCTTTGACTTTCTGAATAGGAAACTGCGTGCGGTAGAAGACACAAACTGTTTACGCAAGTGCTAGACAGAGAAATATGACAGTGGACACGGGGGACAGACTTTACAGCGGAAGACACATCGCATCAGCAGATGCGTCCTAAGACATATGCAAGACTCTGAAAACCGATGAACGTTTCTTCCTCCCAAAAGACAATGAGTGCTACAATCAGCAGTGTGTCATCTCACTCTTTCTGTTCATCTGTTTTGATGTTGTCTTGTGCCGCTCTGGTATGAAGGTCTAGGACGTGACACTTTTCAGGGTAAATGTTGCCATATTTGTCCCCCCTTTGTTATTTTTTGTTATTTTGCCTGCATCTTTTCCGTTCAGTCTGCCTTATGCATAGAATGACGGGGCGAGGATCGGGCAGAAAGGGGAGGGGAAAGAGTAAGACAGAGGTTGTTGGAGAGATGGGAAGTTGTCACAGAGCAGTAAAGTGCCTTCACTCGACTCATCCCCTTTGCTGCTCGCATCCTCGTCTTGAGACAAACCAGTGGACACGTCGTGCTACACAAATGCCTGAACCCGCTCGACATGACGATAACATCGCACACGGCCATATGCTCGGCCGTGCTCATCTCGGAGCGCCATATGAGGACACAGGGCGCTTGTTTGAGCCGGGCCTGTGATGTCTCTCCTTCAGGGAGTCCGCAGGGTGATTCACTTGACGTTTGCTGCTCAATTTATATTTAGACTAGAACACTTCGCAACATCGCTTCAATGTTTACAGCGGAAAGACCTCACCACCACCTTACACAAACGTTTGCTGACAGAGTGAACCGTAGTGCTGCTTTTTACCTCACAGTCACCTGCTCTTTGCGTGTTTTTTGGAAACTTTCACGTTGACGCTTTTTTTGATGTGCTTCTTCGCATGTTTGTACATGTGAGAGACTCTCTTGGTGGAAAATAATTGAGTAAACTGGCCAAAGCTGAAACACGCTGGTCCCTTCCATCTGTTGAAAATCAGCCTAAGAGGATACGCTGGTCTACTCGTCTGTTTTAGTTGGTATTCAGCTTGTTTAGTGGCCAAAAACCATTTAATACAGGCCAGTTGACTAGCTTGATCTGGCTGGGAGACCAACAGCTAAATATTTTCCCAACAGGGCAAGCCTGTTTTGCTGGTTTTATGGGGTTTGGGGTTTGGTCTGGCTGGGTGATCAGGTAAAACCAGCATACCATCTTAAACTGATTCAACATTTTTTCAACAGGGGCAGTCTGGTTTACTGGTTGGGCACTTTAACTCTAGATTAGTCAAGCTGGGAGACCAGGAAAACCACTTAAGGCTGGTTTAAGATGTTTTTTTTCTCAGCAGGTTAAGTCTACTTAGCTGGGTTTAGGGGGTTGGGGCACTTAAACTCTTGATTGGTCAGGCTGGGTGATCAAGTTAAACCAGCACACCATCTTAAACTGGTTTAATTTTTGTTTTTTGTTTTTTCAACAGGACCAGCCTGGTTTGCTGGTTTTAGAGTGGTTTTGGGCAGTTTAACCCAAGATGGGTCTGGCTGGGCAACCAGGTAAAACAAGCAAACCTGTTAAGGCTGGTTTAAAAGAGTATTTGACTTTTTGACTCTTGGTGTCGGCCTCTAATAGTCAGCGAAACACTGCAGTACTCACAACTGCCTTTATACTTTGAATCAGTATATGGTTCATTGCTAATTCACCGCCGCATATGTGGTTAGTGTTGAGATGATAAGTTATATAGGCTTTAGGATGACCGGAGGACTTTTTCTATGTTTCGGGCTGAAGGCACAGAGTTCAGTGATGATTGAGGGGACAGTTCATCAGATCAGTGCCTGAACATAAGGTGTCTTTCTTATTTTGCTGGAATATGCACATTGGCAAAGATATCACTCTAACTTCAGCTCAGCTGCCTAAATCGGTTTTCACTAAAGGAGCCCATAAGAAACGGTGGAGTTGCAGTTTATATGTACTTATAGACAGGGTGTGATAAAGCTTTCATCAAATCTGATCCTCCTTCCTCCAATCAGGCTTTTTTTAACCCATCCTACACCTGTAGATGCTGTACCAAACAATCAGCAGATCTGTGACAAGGCTTCCAATTTGAAGTTGGGTGTCAGGACAGGGTTGAAGACGCTTGAAGAGTTTTTAATAACCGGGGATTCTTTGATTCATTTCTGCTACGAGTGTGTAAGATGTGTAAAGGAATCTGTTAATGCATGTTAAAACCACATTTTAATTTGTACATCAGAGTTTGACAATGAAAACGTTTGATATAAAAAAGGAAAAACTGGAATGCATAACTTTTCACAGATTGTGTGACATTTGTACGTGTCAAGTCTGAAGTTGATTTTAGGACATTACTCATATAAAGTTTGTATAAAACTTGTAATGTAAAAATATAGATTTATAAAAAAAAGAGTTCTACTCTTATAAACAGTGCACATGCATAATAGTAGACAATGCTCTCCAAAATATAGTACAAATAGATCTTGTTCAATTCAGAATGTGTAAATATCAAAATGAAAAGTGCTGACTAAATACAGTGTTATCAATATTATTATCAGTTACTAATATTGGAGGTTTGTTAATCAGTATTGGTCCATTTTTTTTTTTAATCGGCCAATATTTTATATGTCATTGTACATGATGGTCTCTGTTTTTACATTTAGATTATCTTTGCCATCCAAGGCTCACTTAAAGTCGATCTTTAAAATCGAATATTGTAATAACAATGTTAAATGTAATCTTTAGGCCATAACATAAGTATTGGTAAGAATTTATCAATGCATCCCTATTTAAAATGTGTTTTGCCGTTTAAAAGCCTATTTGTTTAGGGTGTCTACATTGGTTATGGTAACACCAGAACCAGTTTCAATGCTCTTCTCCATTGTGTGATATTCTGTAGTGGCGGAATTGAACTGGCTTGTGTCACACCTCCAACTATTCTGTGTTATAGCAGTTATGTCCTTGGTTACGTTGTTTAGAGAAGGGAGGGAAAAGGAACACCCATCCCCCTCTTCAGTGGTCGTGGGGCTGGTGGGACGGGCGGTGCCTGCAGCAGGTGGCGATGGCGGCAGCTCCTTTATCTCCTCCAGATGAACGAACTACACAGGTGTTTTCCAAAGCAAATGCCCCATGAGCGACGGAACCACGAGAAAGAGCCTGACAGCCTGTTAGTGTCCAGGACTCCTCGCATGAAACTTCCACCTAAAATAAAGAATGCAGGTTAGTGCTGCTCAGATACACTAAAGGTCCGGTCATATTAGCAAAATTTTGGCAAAATCTCAAATAGTTTAGCGACTGTATGAAGCACAGAAGGCACTTTCAAGTCTTTACAGCTTTCTGTTGGTCAACAGGGCGATTTCGCATGACCAACTGAACCTGATGCAAAATTTATACGTTAAAATGTTCCACCCTTGAGCAGAGCCAGCACGTACATTACAATTAAAATGACAGAATTTCACATACGAAAATGAGATGAACAACAGTAAATTTGACCACACTTTAATTCACCCAAACGAAATCTATATGAATTGAGTGGTGTAATCCAAGTCTTCTGATGAGCCACTCTTTATATGTTGAACTGTTTTGATTTGGGCTTTTACTTACACTCACCTAAAGGATTATTCGGAACACCATACTAATACTGTGTTTGACCCCCTTTCGCCTTCAGAACTGCCTTAATTCTACGTGGCATTGATTCAACAAGGTGCTGAAAGCATTCTTTAGAAATGTTGCCCCATATTGATAGGATAGCATCTTACAGTTGATGGAGATTTGTGGAATGCACATCCAGGGCACGAAGCTCCCGTTCCACCACATCTCAACAATGCTTTATTGGGTTGAGCCATCAGAGGATGGGTACATGGTGGCCATAAAGGGATGGACATGGTTAGAAACAATGCTCAGGTAGGCTGTGGCATTTAAACGATGCCCAATTGGCACTAAGGGGCCTAAAGTGTGCCAAGAAAACATCCCCCACACCATTACACCACCACCACCAGCCTGCACAGTGGTAACAAGTCATGATGGATCCATGTTCTTATTCTGTTTACGCCAAATTACGCCTCTACCATCTGAATGTATCAACGAAATCGAGACTCATCAGACCAGGCAACATTTTTCCAGTCTTAGTCTTATCTTTTGTGGCTTCGCAAATACTTTGCTGCATACCTCGGTTGTAACGAGTGGTTATTTCAGTCGAAGTTGCTCTTCTATCAGCTTGAATCAGTCGGCCCATTCTCTTCTGACCTCTAGTATCAACAAGGCATTTTCGCCCACAGGGCTGCCGCATACTGGATGTTTTTCCCTTTTCACACCATTCTTTGTAAACCCTAGAAATGGTTGTGCGTGAAAATCCCAGAAACTGAGCAGATTGTGATACTCAGACCGGCCCGTCTGGCACCAACAACCATGCCATACTCAAAGTTGCTTAAATCACCTTTCTTTCCCATTCTGACATTCAGTTTGGAGTTCAGGATATTGTCTTGACCAGGACCACACCCCTAAATGCATTGAAGCAACTGCCATGTGATTGGTTGATTAGATGAGATGAGAAATTGAACAGGTGTTCCTAATAATCCTTTAGGTGAGTGTTGATGAACATTGATCGGTAAACGTAAATAGAGCACTCAAATTTGGTAAATGGAAGCATGAGCATTTATTTTACGATCTCTTTATGAATGAGATTTGGGTGAATAGACTTTCAATGAAGGATAAATCTCTCAGAGTTAATTAAAAACATCATTACTTGTGTACGAAGATGAACAAACGGGTTTGAAACGACATGAGGGTGAGTAATTATTGACTGAATTTTCATTTTTGGGTGAACTAACCCTTTAAGTCATGTTTCAATTAATCCAAGAGATTCAGGAGTTAAACTGCCACTTGTATAAATGTTAGAAGCTGTGCATTTGTTTTTTGTGTCCACCGAGTCAAAGGAAACGTCTTGAGAGAATAAGTCACCTGCTCTCTTACAGCCGTGGGTTCGTGTTCTTTCAGATGACATTCCAGAGAGGACGCGTGGCAGCAGGAGGCATATGACGTTACACCCCTTTTAGCAGGACATGCCCTGCGGCTGCCATGTAGAGGTCGATCAGAGTCTGATACCTCTCCAGATGAAGAGGACGAACTGCAGCCTGCAGGGAAAGATGACAGTTGTCACATTCTAGAAACATGAATAGAAATGTATAGTTGGCTCAAGGATAAGCATAGAGATATCTATTCAAATTAATTTTAAGCCGCATTGACGGCAGAAACTTTACTCATTAAGAGAATCATTTCAAAACAAATGCATGAGATTAGAGAATTATGATTTTTTTCAAATGAAAGAACCTTTTATATAAGACTTTCGAAGTGAAATTATTGTCCGATAACCAAAACCCAATACACTTCAACTTCCACTGAACCCAGAACAATTTATTAATTAATCCTAATGAAAAACGCTGCAGTGCGAAACAATCTGTCACCTGTCAGCTGGTGTTCTGGGGGACATTCTGCATCCGCGCCTCTCCCGGGACTCTCTATCGTCTGGCACTGAGCTTTATGGCCCGTACAACAGCGCGCTACAGCGAACACACCTTGCCCTCCATTCCCATTGACAGCAACACACTCTTTCTGCCCATCTCTCACCTGTCAGAAAGGAAATTACTAAACATTACTCTACTTTACTCACTCTCTTGTGCAACTAGTGACTAGCATCAAGCTGACAGCTCAAATAGTATTTTTTTAGGATACTGAACAAACTTTTTCTGATAATGACCTCCACTCTTTCTCCAGCTCTTCCTCCGTTATGTGAGAAACTGGAGCAGCTCAGCATCTCTTCACCGTGGCGACAGCGGGCCACAGTTGTGGCGAAACCTGAAGCGCCCGACCTCTCGGACCAAACCGATCTACAGAGCAGATCCTCTCCTGTGAGAAAACACATGTAGAGGCAACCTCATTGTAAGAGCCAACTGTAAGTCTCCTATGGTTTTATGGTCTCATTCATTATTTTTATTGCACTCAGATTGTAGGTGGTGGGCGTGTCTACCGGGGCTTGGGCGGAAGTGATGTGTTTCTTGCACGTATTTGTTTGCTACACCTGTGCACCTGAGTATGGGGGCTTTGACAGAGAGGGAGTGAGCCTGGGAGCGAACACTTTCTGTTGACCGCACTTTATGCAATCACACTGCACTTATGAACTGGTAACTGGCTAACAGTTGTATTTTATGTGCAAGAAGCAATAAATGAGTGGATCGCTGTGTGAAACTGTTTCTGCGCGTCGCAGTGCATTCATTCTCCCAGTGTTTAGTCTCTCGCGGCTGCAAAGATAATTTTGCCTGGTCTACAGCCGCTACATTAGTCAACAGAAAAGTTCTTTGTTGTAAACCAAAGTGTTTTTCTATGGAAACGAGCTGTTCATCGCGGATCGCAACAGGACGCTTTGGATATCAGAGGAAACACTGAAATATATCGGGTACTGCTGTTGGATGGCGGTTCATTCATTACTGCACGGAGGATAAAGACCCGGCCGCGATCAATACAGCAACGGAAGCGGTATGTAACTTTTTAATTTATGCTGTGCAAGTTGTTTGTTTGAACACAGTGTAAAAAGGTTACTGCCGCTCGTCCATAGGGGACGCGTTGTTGTTTGCTGGTGTTTATTGTTGGTCATTGGATGTGGTTTATGACGCCGCGATTGATTGATGGATGGATTGATTCATTGAACGGCGCGGATTCTTGGATGATTTGTGGTATATTGGAAAATGGCAACAAGTGAATCAAAATCAAACTCAGACGCAAATGGTTCAGAGATGGATGAACAAAAGAGAAAAATCAAAATGACTGCCAAGGCCTTGGTGAATAAGATTGAAACACTACAAAAAGAACGTAGAAAAAATGTTCATAAAATTAAAGGTCTAATACAGACAATAAAGGATCTCATGCAAAAGGATGATAATGCCCCACAAGTGCAACCCCATCTTGAGAAAATGAGTCAAATGGTGGATGAAACTACTGTGTTACATGATTCTGTGATTCCTATGCTTCCTGAAGAGGAACAAGAAAAACAAAAGGAATGGTTCGTGAATGTACTAAAATGCTACAATGGATTTATGGAAGATGCAAAGGGATGGCTTTCTGAAATTGGGAGACAAACAAGCCGTAGGCCTACTGCTGCTCATGTTGTCACATATGATACTCCCATATTTGTACCACAAAGGGAATCAATGCACAAGTTGGATGAACCTCATAGTGATAATGAGTCTGATGTTTCAGATCACTCTGAGCAAAATGTTCAAGCTTCTGTTATACAAGATGAAATTAAACCAAGCGACAGTGTGTCAAACATAGGAAGTAAATGCTCTAAAAGTAAGCAGAGCTCGGCTGGAAGAAGGTCTGGTATCTCAACAACATCATCAGCATGCATTAAAGCAGAGGCAGATATGGCTGCTCTTATTGCAAGACAAAGATTATTAAAGGACAGACATGCATTAGAAGAACAAGAGGATCAGCTAAGGAAAAAACGAGAAGAGTTTGAACTTGAAGTGGAAATAGCCGCCTCAGTGGCTAAAGTAAATGTGCTGAGAGGCTCAAGAGGGTCTCGTGTTTCAAGTCATCCATCTGTGAAGTCCAATGGCATGAATTCTTATCTAGAAAGGGGACAAAAGATAACCAAAACCCTTAATGCTGAGGCAAAATCATTTGTGCCCGATACGAATATTCCAACGCTTGGACGGTCCAATCCACATTTTTCTGGTACAGAACGTCGAGTGGGAAATGTTATTCAATCACCACGACCTCAACCCACATCGTCTAGACGTCCAGAAGTCACGGGACATCAAGATACATTACAATCACGTCCACTGCCTATGCACAGCACTCATCAATTTTCTACACAGGTGACAAACAGTAGTGATCAAAGTCAAATAATTACGGTTTTAGAAAAACAAAATGAGATAACAGCCTTATTGGTTCAACAACAATCTCTTTCATTACTGCCTAAAAGAGACATTCAGATTTTTGACGGTGATCCTTTGCAATACCATACCTTCATGAGGTCTTTTGAACACAGTATCGAAGAGAAGGCTGACAATCCTAAAGACTGCTTGTATTTCCTTGAACAATACATCAGGGGGCATCCAAGGGATCTTGTCAGAAGCTGTCAACATATGGCACCTGACAGAGGATATGCCAAGGCTAAGGCTTTGCTGCAAGAGCATTTTGGTAATGCACAGAAAATTGCTGCAGCTTATATGGAAAAGGCTCTTTCATGGACTCCAATAAAATCAGAAGATGTGAAATCTCTACAAGCATACAGTCTTTTTCTTCGAGGATGTTGTAATGCCATGGAAGATGTTGAATATATGGAGGAGTTGAACATGCCTACCACTATGCTGACCATCGTAAAAAGGCTGCCCTACAAATATAGGGACAGATGGAGAACTGTGGCTTGTGAGTTGCAGGAAAGGAGTGGACAGAGAGCCAAATTTATAGATATTGTCGATTTCATCGAAAGACAAGTGAGGATAGCAAGTGATCCACTATTCGGGGATATACAGGATACACCATCAACAACAGCAAACAAGGATGCAAGAAAATCTAGGTTTGAGTCTAGTTCTAGAGCCAAAGGAAGTAGCTTTGCTACCACCGTTGCAACAGTGGAAAGGAAAGTTGAATCAGGAACAAAAGTAAAAGAGGACAGGTCAGCTGGTATGAAGGCTTGCATATTTTGTGGAGGTGAGCACACATTGGATTTGTGCCGCCAGTTGGAAAAGAGGGTGCATAATGAGAAGATTACTTTCTTAAAGAAACATGGTGTGTGTTTTGGCTGTTTGTGCATTGGGCACATGAGTCGAGATTGTAGGAAGCGTCTCTCATGCAAAGTATGCAGTCTGAAGCACCCTACTGCACTTCACATTTATCCAAAAGAGAAAGAAAATAATTTAGTGCAAGTCAAAGGAGAGTCTGAGACAGCAGTGGGCAGTTCTCTGATCTCTGTTCAATCCAGTGGTCTTACTGGGGCCGGTGACCATGATTGTACACTCTCTATAGTTCCAGTTCAAGTTAAACATAGGAAGGGGCACAAGGTGTTGATTACCTATGCCTTCTTGGATCCTGGAAGCTCAGCGTCATTCTGTACAGAGCGGCTGATGAACAAGCTTAATGTCAGGGGACGAAGAACTGGTATTCTCCTTCGTACTATGGGTCAGGAGAAGGTCGTTGGGAGTCATATTGTTTCAGATTTGGAAGTGGCCGAATTAGACGGTGATTGTTTTTGTGAACTACCTGATATTTATACGCAAAAAAACATGCCAGTTCATCGAGGCAATATTCCTCGACAGAAAGACCTCCAACGATGGCCACATCTGAGACATGTCCAGATAAGGGAGATTGATTCAGATATTGACCTGCTGATTGGATCCAATGTCCCTAGAGCACTGGAGCCATGGCAAGTTGCTCGAAGTACGGAGGGGGGCCCCTATGCGGTCAAAACGATGCTGGGCTGGACTGTAAATGGACCTCTTAGACGCGATGAATGTAGAGAAATTACTAGTGGACAGCCAGATGTCACTGTCAATAGGATCTCTATTGCAAACCTCAAGGATCTGTGGAATGAGCAGCTAAAGGCTGATTTTCCTGAATGTAGCCAGGATGAGCAGATGGGGTTATCAAGAGAAGATTGTCAATTCATGGAGTTTGTGACAAAATCTGCTAAGTTGGTGGATGGCCATTATAGTATTGGCTTACCTTTAAGAAAAAAAGATGTGAATATGCCAAACAATAGAAAAGTTGCCGAACAGCGTGCTATGAGCCTCACAAGGAGGTTTGAAAAGGACGCTACATTTCATGCTGATTACACAGTATTTATGAATGACATCATCTCCAAGGGCTACGCTGAGAAGGTCCCAATTGAGAATCTGGATCGGAGCGACAACAGGGTATGGTATATACCACATCATGGGGTATATCACCCGAAGAAGGGCAAAATCAGGGTCGTTTTTGACTGCAAAGCCACATTCCAGGGAACATCTTTAAATGCTCAACTCTTACAGGGACCCGATCTTACCAGCATGTTAATTGGAGTCATGACCAGATTCAGAAAAGAGCCTGTTGTACTCATGGCAGACATTGAGGCTATGTTCCACCAAGTCAGAGTACCAGTTGAGGATTCAGATCTGTTGAGGTTTCTCTGGTGGCCGGATGGAGACCATAAGCAAAGCCTAGTGGAGTACAGAATGGTAGCGCATCTGTTCGGGGCCACATCTTCGCCAAGTTGTGCAAGTTTTGCTCTTAGAAAGTGTGCAGAGGATAATCGAGAGCAATTTAGCTTCAAAGTAATCGAAACAGTCCTCCACAATTTCTATGTGGATGATTGCCTTACATCAGTGGCTTCTGAGGAGGAAGCAATAGCGCTTTACCAGGACCTTCGCGTCCTTTGTTCGAAAGGGGGCTTTCAGCTCATGAAGTGGATCAGCAATAGACGTACCGTGCTGGCAGCAATTCCTGCAACAGAGAGAGCAAAAGAGGTTAAGGATTTGGATTTGAACAATGACACCCTTCCTGTAGAAAGAGCATTGGGCGTACAGTGGTGTGTTCAGTCTGACACTTTTAAGTTTAAAGTCCTCATCAAAGATCGACCCTTAACCAGAAGAGGGATTCTCTCCACGGTCAGTTCAATCTATGACCCTTTAGGAATGTTGGCACCTGTGGTCTTATCTGCCAAAAAGATCCTTCAAGACTTGTGTAGAAAAGACCTTGGTTGGGACGATCTTATACCCGACTTGTCTGCACAGGAGTGGAGAGGTTGGTTGAAGGAGCTCTGGCAGCTTGAAAAGTTTGAGGTTGACAGATGCCTAAAACCAATGGATTTTGGGGAAGTGATTTCTGCTCAGTTACATCACTTTGCGGATGCATGTGAGAGCGGCTATGGAACAGTGACTTACTTGTTATTAAACAACATAGAGAGAAAAGTTCACTGTACTTTCATAATGGGAAAGGCCAGAGTGGCTCCATTAAAAACAATCACCATCCCTCGCATGGAGTTGACGGCTGCCATGGTTGCAGGTCGAATGGATGAGCTCTGGAGGAAGGAGCTAAAGATGGAACTTCAAGACTCAATTTTTTGGACAGACAGTACTTCTGTACTGAAGTACATCAGCAATGAGACCTCAAGGTTTCGTACATTTGTAGCCAATCGGGTTTCAAAGATACTGAGTGTATCTAGTCCATCTCAATGGAGATATGTTAACACCACAAATAATCCTGCTGATTTAGCCTCTAGGGGAGTAAAGGTGACATCACTTCTGAGAGATAACATATGGGTGTCTGGACCTCAATTTCTGGTTGGGCCTGAAGCGGGCTGGCCTGAAAACCCAGATGGCCATGTGAGAATTCCACCAGATGACCCTGAGGTTAAGAGGGTCTTGATTGTGAATGCTGTGCAGGCTGAAGAGAAGATCGATGCAGTCACTCGCTTGATTAACTACTTCTCCTCTTGGATCCGTCTGAAGAAGATGGTTGGTTGGATCCTTAAGCTGAAGAGTCTACTACTGTACTTTAGTCAGAAAAGGAAGCAACTGAGTAGGACTCTTGCTCATTCTGGCTTGGACAAGGACCAACAGGGAAAAGAAATAGAAAAGGAGATGCAGAGTATCAAGGCTAAGACCGCCAGTGGTCTTCTTTCAATTGAGGAACTTAGAAAGGCTGAGATGGAGATTATTAAGTTTTGCCAGAGAAGGAGGTTTCCTGGGGAATTCAACAGTCTGCGAAAGGGCGAAAGTGTGAAAAGGACTAGTCACATTTACAAACTCAACCCAATACTTGAAGATGGTGTTTTGAGAGTTGGAGGACGACTTAGCAGAGCAGCTATGCCGGAAGAAGCTAAGCATCCTGCCATATTGGCAAAGGATTTACACATTTCCAACATAATTCTTCAGCACATACATCAAGAGGTGGGACACAGTGGTCGTAACCACATGCTGGCTTGTCTGCGCCAAAGGTATTGGATCCCTGGGGCTAGTGTGGCTATAAGAAAAATCCTGTCTAAATGTATTGTCTGTCGACGACTGCATGCAGCTCCAGGCCAACAACAGATGGCAGATTTACCTCAGGACAGAGTTTCATCAGATGAACCTCCATTCACTCGGGTCGGAGTTGATTACTTCGGACCTTTTGAAGTTAAGCGAGGAAGGAGTATATTGAAGAGGTATGGGGTTCTCTTCACATGCCTTTCCATAAGAGCGATCCACATAGAAGTTGCATCATCCTTGGACACAGATTCTTTTATCAATGCTCTTCGACGCTTTACAGCAAGACGTGGACAAGTATTGGAACTGCGTTCAGATAATGGAACCAACTTTGTTGGTGCCGAGAGAGAATTGAGAGAGGCAATGGAAAGTTGGAATCATACCCTAATTAATAACACCCTCCTTCAAAAGGGAATTAATTGGGTTTTCAACCCCCCCACAGGGTCACATCATGGCGGGGTTTGGGAAAGGTTGATAAGATCTGTGAGGAAGGTCCTGAATTCCACCCTGAAGTTGCAGACCCTTGATGAGGAGAGTCTTCACACAGTTCTGTGTGAAGCAGAAGCTATTGTCAACAGCCGTCCTATTACCAAGGCATCCACTGATCCCAATGATTTGGAACCATTAACCCCTAACCATCTGTTGCTGCTCAAGATCATGCCATCTTTGCCACCGGGTCAGTTCAAAAAGGAGGACATCTACGCTCGTCGCAGATGGAAACAAGTTCAGTATATATCTGACTTGTTCTGGAAACGTTGGATTAAGGAATACTTGCCTCTTCTTCAGGAGCGTCAGAAGTGGTCTGGTATCAAGCGCAACTTCCAAACTGGAGATATTGTACTCATAGTTGACGACTCAGCACCTCGCAACTCATGGCTTACAGGAAGGATTGTGCAAACTCTCCCTGACAGAAGAGGACTTGTTCGTCAAGTGCGAATTAGGACGAAGACCAGTTATTTGGATAGGCCTATCACCAAGATTTGCCTTCTACAGGAAGCAGAGGAGCCATGAGGATATCCAGCTGACCTTCGAACTTCTTAGACTTTGACTTTAATCTTGACATTATTATATAGACCTTTTTACATTACATGATTAAGTGATTGCGAAGATCACTTTTTACAAAGACAAAGGACTCTGTCTCTTGTTTGATCTAAAGAAGAAAAGACACTTTCGAAGGGACTGTTTTATGTAAAAAAAAAAAAAAAAAATCATATTGTTGATCTCTTACATAATGTGCAGTTGTATAATTATTGTGTTAAAATAATTAGGGCCGGAATGTAAGAGCCAACTGTAAGTCTCCTATGGTTTTATGGTCTCATTCATTATTTTTATTGCACTCAGATTGTAGGTGGTGGGCGTGTCTACCGGGGCTTGGGCGGAAGTGATGTGTTTCTTGCACGTATTTGTTTGCTACACCTGTGCACCTGAGTATGGGGGCTTTGACAGAGAGGGAGTGAGCCTGGGAGCGAACACTTTCTGTTGACCGCACTTTATGCAATCACACTGCACTTATGAACTGGTAACTGGCTAACAGTTGTATTTTATGTGCAAGAAGCAATAAATGAGTGGATCGCTGTGTGAAACTGTTTCTGCGCGTCGCAGTGCATTCATTCTCCCAGTGTTTAGTCTCTCGCGGCTGCAAAGATAATTTTGCCTGGTCTACAGCCGCTACACTCATCAAAAACACACAACAAAGTGCATTAAGGCCACCTTAATGGTTACAGGTATGTTTTGGGCACTTCTATAGCGTTTAAATTAGTCACCCATCATGGCAAAACTGGTCCTAAACTGGTCTACCAGCCCAGACCAGTGACATTATATATTATAATATGTTTGGTATTATTTGGTGTCTTAATCGAACTCAACTCTTTCTCTTGTTAAGAAACCTTAACTTATGCATTAATCACATCATGTCTGGATTATTGCAATGCTCGGTTTCTTGGTCTGCCCAAAAATATGTTTTGCAAGATTACAGTGTGTTCAAAATTCAACAGCAAGAGTTCCCACCTCTACCAGGCGTTCTGCTCACATTACTCCTCTGCTTCATGACCTTCACTGGCTACCCGTGGCATCACGTATTCGCTTCAAGGTATTGCTTTTTAACATTTATGGCATTAAATGGTTTTGCACCTCCAGACTCTATGTGCAAATGAAATGTACTAGAGGAAAGGCGCTATATAAATAAAACTTATTCTTATATTACATTATATTACACATTTATTGCAATCTGCAAGTTATAGTATTGAAATCATCATAAATCAGATTGCAATATCAGTCCATATTATTAATGCCCGTTGTTTGAAAAACCACACTGTTGAAATTTACTCGTGAACTCTGACCTGTGAGTGTGGAGGTCGGGTCAGGCAGGGCGACTACCATGTTGGGTGTAGTGAGACGGTGGTCCTGTGGCAGAGACTCTGGGTTCATGACCTGTTTGACTGAATGATAGAGGATCTGTTGCAGAAGCTCAGCAGAGCTGGAGTTTGGACTCAGATTCAGAAGTACCGCCGCTACACCTGAAAACACACACCGACCAGAGCAGGTTATATGGACAGACTGACCAAATGTACTCTCATCCGTCTAATAACATGCACTAATAATATTATGCATTAGTGTGTGTGTGTGTGTGTGTGTGTGTGCGTGTGCTAACCAGCAACATGTGCCGCTGCCTGTGACGTTCCGCTCTTCGTAGTGAAGCAGGTAGAGCAGTCACTGGATGCGCTGATGATGTCATCACCGGGTGCGAACACATCCACGCAGCGGCCCACGTTGGTGCCGGTCTTCCCAGTGATCAACGGCTGGTCAGCAAAATTAACGGCCCCTACTGTTATCACCTGCAGCAGCGGAACAAATGATGTCAAAAGCAAATGCTTTCCTGAAGGACTCAACCCATTGTAATCTCAGGTCAGTACCTCAGGTTCTGAGGCTGGTGAGTACAGACAAGCATCATCGTTATAGTTCCCGGCTGCAGAAATGAGCACTGCGCCAGATTCCACCATTTTCCTGCAGACAGCGTTGAGGGTGCGACTGAATCCCCCAACAAATGGCAGCAGGAGGATCACAGGTGAGAGAGGCTGAGACATCAGAGATGACTGGATATACTCCAGACCTGCAACAGTGTTGTGTTTTATAGTAATGGAATATGACATTTATTGTTTGTTTGTTTTCCTGTCGAAGCTCGTAATTATTTTCTTGTTTATTGTTTGTCCTTTTATTTATTAAAGTAACACCAGGTTACTTTTCAACCTTCATAATATATTTCCAAGGTTGAATGACACGTCTGCCATAGCCTGACGGGGTCTGTAGCGTTTTTAATCGTACTTTTAAACTTCGGGTTTCGGGTAGTAACCGGCGAACAAAGAGAACTACAAAATTCGACTGCTTTACGGCATATACGTCACTTCCACAACCACCCCAACTTAAAATCGGACGTGCGAGCCAAATGTTATAGTCATGGCCGAAGCAGCACAGAAAAAAAAAGAAAGCAAAGGTTTTATCGTAGCAAAGCAAAAAGAGAAAGTAATCGTGTTAAAGGCAGAACGAGGATTAACATTGGGCCAGCGTTTTCTCGGTACGATTTTTTAATGTTAGAAGTATCTGCTCACCAAGGCTGCATTTATTTGATTAAAAATACAACAACAAAAACAGTAATATTGTGAAATATTATTACGGTTTAAAATAATTGTTTTCTTTAAATTATGAACGTAATTTATTCCTGTGATGTCAAAGCTGAATTTTCAGCATTTGCTGCTCAAGAAACATTTCTGATTATTATCATTGTTGAAAAGTTAAAAAGAAAAGCATTTATTTGAAATAGGGGTCAGTAAGAATTTATTTTTGGAAATAAATTAATACTTTTATTCAGCAAGAATGCATTAAATTGATCAAAAGTGACATAAAGAGATTTATAAAGTTACAAAATATTATATTTCAAATAAATGCTATTCTTTAGAACTTTCTATTAATGTGACACTGGAGTAATGATGCTGAAAATGTAGCTTTGCCAACACAGGAATAAATTACATTTAAAATATATTCAAATATAAAATAATTATTTTAAATTGTAATAAGATTCCACAAAATTAGTTTTGTTTTTATATATTATTTTTTGTATCACTTACAGTAAGTTTCAGTTTACCTGCTAAAGCTCCATATATAACATATAATGTTATAAATATAGATGTATATATAATATTATTTATGTTTTGGTTTACCTGCCAAAGCTCCTGACACAGTACCCTTGCCTTGGCAATTCAATACTCGGACACTATTTACACTGGCACCTCGAGCGACACCCGAGTCCCGTCCACTGACCACTCCTGCTATGTGTGTGCCGTGACCATCACACTGACTAGCCTGTGGGCAAACGACCGTAGGAAGTGATGGACATATGCTTCTCATCAGCACTTGCATGAAAAACTTCACAGTTATCATAAAACTTTTAATGACATTCACCAACCTGTCTGTGAACTCTGACCCCGTCCTCCTCTGGCACACTGTTGAAGTCCGTCACCATCACCCTGTCCTCAATCTCACGATGAGTCACCTGAACGCTTGTGTCTAAGAGATACACTCCCACCTTTGAGCCGTCATCTGCAAACACAGACAGATCAAGGACCATACATGGCAAAATACTTGGGAGAACAAGGATTAAAGATTCGAGAGATTAAGCATTTTATTAACATAAAAGCATTTACACAGCACAGAAAGCAAATCTGTGACTTCAGGATCTCAGAAGATCATTTTAGACGGTGATTTGAAAAAGTAGAGTGAGAGAGGAGACTTTAGCTCACTGAGTGGTGAGTATTTTCCAGGCTCATGTTTGTTTTGAAGGATGCGCTGCAGGTTCCATGGGATGCTCTGGGCAAAGATGGAGGAATCCTCTTCAATGTATTCCACATGGGGAAGCTTTACTGCCTGACAAAAAATAAATAAATAAATAAATAAATAATCCCAGTTCAAGTTTTCATTTAACTTTTCAGACCACAAAACTGTTCTAACATTCTTAAATATAAAATATGAACTGAGATGTAAAATACAAAACTGAGAGCATTATTGTGTAGTGTCTAATTACCATGTGAAGAACATCGCTGCTCATTTTCACCAGAAACCCGTGGAAGGCTCCAGAATAAGTCTGCAGTATTTCGATCAGGTATCCACGTTTTGCGGCTTGTGCACGGAGCCTGCGCACGGTGCGCTCCACCTGGTTCACGTGCGTTCCGTTCCGCATTACCACTATATACTGACCTGGCATGCGCCATGCATCCTGTGTGTAAAGAAAAGATTTTGATTAGCCTTCTTATTCCAAATGTTCCACACGTACTACAGTACATTTATTTTAGACGTTCCTGGCGTATGGCAACTTATGTTGTCAGGACAACTTGCGAGTGTTTCTACACAACTAATAAAACATTGCTGGAAGTAGCCATCAGAAGATAGGTAGATGATGGCCATAAAGGGATGGACATGGTCAGAAACAATGCTCAGGAAGGCCGTGGCATTTAAACGATGCCCAATTGGCACTAAAGGGCCTAAAGTGTGCCAAGAAAACATCCCCCACACCATTACACCACCACCACCAGCCTGCACAGTGGTAACAAGGCATGATGGATCCATGTTCTCATTCTGTTTACGCCAAATTCTGCCTCTACCATCTGAATGTCTCAATGGAAATCGAGATTCATCAGACCAGGAGACATTTTTCCAGTCTTCAACTGTCCAATTTTGGTGAGCTCTTACAAATTGTAGCCTCTGTTTCCTATTTGTAGTGGTGATGAGTGTTACCCGGTGGGGTCTTATGCTGTTGTTGCCCATCCGCCTCAAAGTTGTTCGTTTGTGGCTTCACAAATACTTTGCTGCATACCTCGGTTGTAACAAGAGGTTATTTCAGTCAAAGTTGCTCTTCTTTCAGCTTGAATCAGTCGGCCCATTCTCCTCTGACCTCTAGCATCAACAAGGCATTTTCGCCCACAGGACTGCCACATACTGGATGTTTTTCCCTTTTCACGCCATTCTTTGTAAACCCTAGAAATGGTTGTGCGTGAAAATCTCAGTAACTGAACAGATTGTGAAATACAGACTGGCCCGTCTGGCACCAACAACCATGCCACGCTCAAAATTGCTTAAATCACCTTTCTTTCCCATTCTGACATTTAGGCCCTGTTTACACGAGAACGCTCACGGGTGAAAACGTAAAAATATTTTATCGGATATGCCTTTCTTTTACACGGCGACGGCGTTTTTAAGGCTTAAAAATGCAAAAAAAAAGTGAAACCACCCTCCAGAGTGGAAATCTTAAAAACGCTCCACCGCCGCGTTCCCCTGTAAAGGGTAAAAACGCAAAAGTCTGCTTGACAGTGAAGGTTGTACACAGGCGCGTGGACTTGGTGTTGTTGTACTATGCACTCATAGCCGCCTGGAATGCATACTACATTGAATTTCACACACTTTTGCGTCACCATTTGCACACGGATTTCCCACACAAAACGCTTGTCTAAACGCAGAATAAAAAGTGATGACGCAACGCCACTTTTGCGTTTTCTCGTCAGAATCGTTTCCGTGTAAACATAGCCTCAAGCACACCTGATGTAACGAATCAAGGGCATCATTAGTTGCACCAGGTGTGCTTGGGCTAAAACACATTAAATATCTGAACTGGCTAGATTTTTTGAGTGTTATGTCCAGCTAACAATTTTACATTTTGGGAACGTTCTTGTTTGGTTCCCCAAAAAATAACCAAATGGGAACCATGCGGGATCGTTCTGTGTTTGCTGGCTCATTTAGTATGTAGTGGTTCAATTATAAGAAATTAGCCCCACCTCCACTCCTTCACACCAGCTCAGAGATTCAATCATTGACAATGTTGTCCTGATTGGTTACAAGATAGTTTGGGACGTCAGGAAGACCCTCGATTTTGTGTTTTTGAGACTGTCTTTGGTTCACTGCAGTTTTAAAGAGAAAATACTCAGCAACGATGTTGACTTATGCATTTGTACCTGGTTCGTCTTAAATCATATTAAAAACATCACATAGACATACAAACAACATTAAAAACTTGATTACATAGGCTGGCTATTTTTGGGAAGCAAATTTCCACAGAAATGTAAACTTTCCACAAATGTTTTCTACAGATATCCAGGTACAGTAAATAAACAGAACAAAATGTTCAATAACGAGCTCAGTTTTCTGAAACTTTATAGGCTATGTATTTATCTTTCTGTCCGTAAAGCTTTAATGAATGGTCTAGTTCTTAAGGTTGAATTTTCCTGCTTTTAGATAGATGGTGAGAAATATATAATTAAAATATCTAAATGTTCTATTTAAAAAAATCACAGTGTTATGGCTATATTCATACCATCAATTTGATTTCCAGTACTGGATATTTGGTCAAATAAAGTGTCCTTAATACGCGCATTAAATATTTACAAAAATATTGGGGCTAACAATGTGCCTCCTACTTTAGACTTTAAATATATAGGCTATGTATTAATCTTGTTCATTAGTTTTACTTAGGAAATTAGTAATTTTACATGCATTATTTATTTTGTTTTATTTCATACAATGAATTAAAAAATCTGCATCCTGTAGAGTAGACAGTAAAATCAAATTGCCTGATTTAAAAATTAAAAAAAAAAAAAATTCCTTTATCAAAATATTTTTTTTTACTTTAATAAAAAAGAACCAAATGTCGAGTCGGCCTACTGAATTATTGAATTTTGTACTTTAAAATGCAGCATGTTTTTTTTTTTTTTTTTTTTTTTTTCTTCTTCATTTAGAAGAAATATCGTTTCTAATATCAGGTAATAAGCCCATACAGTGATCCATTAATTTAGCCATGTACCTTAGTGCACCTGTAAAACTGGGCAGATGGCCTGCTCTCTGCTTCAGGCTGGGAGTCATCCTGCAGAATTAGAGACAGGATCATCTCTTCGTCCTCAGTGTAGTCTTCATCACTCCTAACCATAGCCAGAAGCCCCAGAAGAAAACTCAAACAGCACACCGTAAAGACGCCTCTCATCCTTGTGGGCACTTTTTGTGCTTTTAGGTCAAGATAGAATATAAAATAAGTATCCTAGTTCAAGTGATATTGCTCAAAATTCCCTTTTTAGGATTGTTGTTCGTCATTTGGTAAGGCAGAGGTATGAAAGAGAGAGAATTAGAGCTGAGGTGTATCCTCTTGTCATTTAACATGTCATTTGAATCTCTCTGATAAACTGAACGCTGTGAGGTGGAGCGTGCTGACGTTTCTCTGTGCTTGTATCGAACGATGTGCGGTAATAAATACAGCAGAAGAGGAGTCAGATTACAGTCCACCCACACACATATTATTACACGCACTATTCCTGCATAGGCTTGCAACGTTTGCTGAAATAAAACCTGTAAAATGAAAGTGTCAATTAAGTGGATACAAAGAGCCTAACAAATAAAGTGAACAGCCATAAACAATAAATTCAGTTTTATTGATTAAAAAAAAAAAAAAACTAGGAAAAGGACGACACATGTCTAACCTGCGCGCGTTCTGAAGAGTCAAAAAGGTTGCAGTTTTGCACGTGTCGATGTTGCTTCACTTTGACCAAATACAGATTCACGTCGTCCTCTGTTGGCCAGATAGTGGTATTGTTGAGGAGCTAAAAGAGTCATAATCAAATGAAACGTGCAAAACACAATACGATCCATATTGTTAAAGTGGGGTATTTTTTAGGCCTATCTGACAAGTTGACTCATATCCTATTGACTGAGGTTTAAAAACCCCATCTCTTGTTGACTTATGCATTTGTAGCCTACCTGGTTTGTCTTAAAGCATATTAAAAACACCGCATAGACATATAAACAACATTAAAAACTTGATCACACAGGCTGGCTATTTTTGGGAAGCAAATTTCCACAGAAGTAGCCTATAAACTTTCCGCAATGCTTTCTACAGATATCCAGGTTTAGTAAATAAACAAAACAAAATGTTCAATAACGAGCTCAGTTTTCTGAAACTTTATATGCATATATCTTTCTGTCTGTAAAGCTTTAATTAATGGTCTATTTTCATTAAAATTAAGGTTTAATTTCCACGCTTTTAGATAGATGGTTAGAAATCTATATTGAAAATATCTAAATGAAGAGTTCAGATGCAAAAGCCTCTAAATGCCATTTGAAATTTTCTTCTAAAATGATCATTTTTATCAAGCTTGTATATTTAAGTTCAGTAATTTCACTTAAATGGCAATGAAGATTACCTATTAATTGTCATTTAAGTGAAATTACTGAACTTAAATACAAGCTTGATAAAATGGTCGTTTTAGAAGAAAATTTCAAATGGCATTTAGAGGCTTTTGCATCTGAACTCTTCAAATGTTCTGTTTGTTTGGATATGTCAAATACACTGCAGAACTTTCACAGTGACCAGTGAAGCATAAAACTGAGCTGAATTGACAACAGTTTTTTTTTTTTTTTTTTTTTTTTTTTTTTGCGCAAACAGAATGCCATAATTTCTGGAAATCTTCCCATAAACGACAGAAATAGGCAATATAAAAAACATACACCAATAAATAGGCCTACTAAGTTATTTGAAGTAAATTATTGTAGACATTGACAAATCGTGAGCTTAGAATTATACGGTTCTATCTCCACTTTTGGTCGAAATTCAGTTTTTGGCATAATCTGATCCATTAGGTGTTTATTAAAGGGTTAGTTCACCCAAAAATGAAAATTAAGTCATTAATTACTCACACCCATGCTGTTCCAACCCCGTAAGACCTTCGTTCGTCTTCGGAACACAAAGTAAGATATTTTTGATTCAATTTGAGAGCTGTATAACTACCACATTGGCTGCCTAAGGGACTGCCTCTTGACGGCCCAAAAAGTCAATGAAGAAAATGTTTAAATATCCCAAGTGACTACCGTGGCTCAACTATATGTTTATCAAGTGACGCAAATACTTTTTGTGCGAAAAAACAAACAAAAATAACGAGTTTATTCGACTATTTATTTTCTTCCTTGTAGGCCAGAAACGAGACTTCCTTAGATTTCCACGACGCATGCGCGAGAATTGCGATCTGAAGTAGTGTAAGCTGGTGTAAGCAGCTGGGATGTAAAAACTTTGATGCTCAATATCTCAGAACTACCCTAAACGGAGATAGAACCTTATAATTCTAAGCTCACGAAATGTAACGCTTTATCCTAAAACAAAGACAAACGTAGACTTATTTTTGGCACAAATTGAACCTCATAAACGGAAATTCCCAACTAGAAAAAAGAAAAACAAAGATGTTTTGCACATAGGCTTACTTTGTGGCCCATATTTCATATTTCAGTAGGCTACTGCTACATGTATTTTAACTTGCTTTAAATTAATCCCTTTAATTTATCCAATAATACAGTTCTACATTTAAATAATCTAAAATAAATCTAAAATGGTTATTTATCCTGCGGTCCCGTGTGTAAAGGATCTCTAATGAAGGAGCACCACAGACAGACATAAAAACATTTACCATTTAACCATAAAAAATCCACATTAATCCAGGCAGTTCCTCTTTCAGTGTCCTCTGGTCTTGGTGGCATGAGTCAAGGTCACCATGCTATGGCTATTTCATCACTTAATGTTTAAACTTTTTCCAACCTTATTTCCTGAGAGTGAAACAATCATACGCTTGTGACAAAGTCACTGCCAGACCTTGTGACATTAACTTGCCTAATGTAAAATGTGATGGCATACATTACACACTTAAATGGGTAATCTAATGCAAATTTCTATCTTATATTGTTTTTGAACATATTTAGTTTCTGCAGTGGGTTTCCACAACCACCTTATTTTAGTAAAAATCCATCCACTCCGTTTGTTATTTTCTCCATAAATCTGAAAAAGTGTCTCAAAAAAGAGCAGTTAAGGACTGTACTCCAATGTAATGTCACAATGTAACAAGCCCCGTCCACGACTGGTGACAGAATCTGACAGCTTAGCTCCTCCCCTGAATGAGCTGTACACAATCATATCTCTTCGCCAGAGATTTAACAGCAGCATTCAAGTAAGAAATGTATTCTTATTAAAGCTACTAAAGTTATTCAATCAAGAGCAGTGAGTGATGTTTTTTTTTCTCTTTTGTTTCCTTATATTAAAGCTGCAGTCCGCCGTTTTCCCTCTTTGTCGCCATCTCTGTTCGAGATCTGCAATTGCAGTGATTGGTGGAATTATCAACTTTTCGTGAGTTGTACTTCAACATCCTCGACGACACGTCACAGCGCGGATGAACACAATGTGTGAGGAGACTGTGAGGCTGTCAGTCACCGCGCCGGTGTGGATACTGTCATTCAGAATCACAGATTATTCTTTTTGTAACTATAACCAACATAATAATTTTCCGGAAAATGTCATCTGAACAAGTAAGTAACATCCACTTCAGTTCTGGTTCTGACATTACAGTATATCGTGCCGATTAAATGTAACAATCGCTTAAGTTATCATATCACGTAACAACGTCAGCATTGCACGACTACATTTAATGTCTTTCCGATATTATCCTTGTTTTCGCATGGGTCCGGTTATAGTCTCTTTTTCTGTAGTCACTCCGAAGTCCGAACGAAGTCTTTTGCATTTTACAGCGGGTGAATCTCTAGTTGTCACTGGTGACTGTCGTTTGAACCTTTCTGGATCCGTCATCAAATTGATAAGTTTAATTATATCAAGTGCTGCGAGAAAAGGCTATAAATCTCCCCCTCCAACATCCTCACACTCAAAGCCTACTAGCCGAGACTCCTCCTTTATGTGTAAAGACGTGACGTAATGACGCAAAGACATGCTCGAATCTCCCGCGGAAATCCACCAGTACCACTGGAATTAAAAACATTATTACAAGCTTATCGCTTTGACTCAAGCTAAGGCAAGCAGAGAGTTTTGAACACTGGCTGGTTGTGTATTTTTTTAAATATGTATCTTGGATAATTTTTAACCCCCAAAAATCTACGGACTGCAGCTTTAACTACATTTCAGTAAATAGGCCTACTTTATATTACACAGCAGTTCATTTGCATTTAAAGATATATGCACGAAAACCCCTGAGACTTTTAATACATCTTGTAAAAAGGGGCATAATAGGTCCCCTTTAAACATAATTAATATACGTTATTTAGGATTCTTTTAAAGTATGACAACACAGTTGTCTGGCAAATATTTACAGTATGTCAGATGATGATTTTGCCATTAATCAAAAGGCACTATTCACTCTCCAGCTCAGATGTAAAGTAACATGAGTCTTCCATTTTCCCATAGTACATCTCTCGGTTGGGGTCTGTTCCTGCAGTTCTTCCGTCCGTCAGTGGAGTGCTAGAACATGCCAGCACACTGGGAGAACTTCGGCATGTGTGGAGGACGGTGACACGCTCACTGTGTTTGTTCTCAGTGTGGAGTTTTGGATCTGCCGATATTTCTACTTTTTCATCATCACAGAAGCCAGCCAAGGGAGCTCTTATAGGTTTCTGTGGACTGGAACAGGAAAATACATATTTTTTGAGTTTTATGCAGTTTAAATTTGCATATTATAGTTGGTGCTATTTAAAAAAAGTTTTACACATCAAAAAATGTTTTTGACATACAAATTCAAAGAAGATGAAGAACTCATTGAACTCTGTACTCATAATAGTTTTCTATTAAAAAAAGCATTTTAATAGGACATGGTGCGGGTCACACCCTCAGTGTTTTTCGCCATGTTGAAATGACGTGCGGTACGTCATTCACAAGGTTGAAAGATTTGAAAGAGAAAATCCTGAGTAGTGATGCTTAAGTTGCTTATTGTTTTGTCGAAAAGTTAAGGGAATAAATTATTGTGTAGACTGCTCTCTAAAAATTATATACAAGTCATTTACATAACTGACGAGCATGTTGAACCAAGTTTATAGCAGCATACGGTCACACCATTGTGGTATACTTGGCTTTTAAGTTGTAAAGTTGTACGCTTGTCTCTTTAAGATTTTTTACAAAAATAATCTTATCACACAGCATAATTGCATTCCCTGGAAAATGTAAGATTCTCTAAGATTCAATTATCCAGCCGCTTAACCCAGTTACAGTGTGAGTGAATTTCGACTTAATGAGTCTTGATGGGCCCTCAGAAAACACAAACACGGACTCCAGTGTGATGACAGAAAGCAGAAAGAGAAGGAAGTGTTTGTTGAGTTGACTTGATGAATGAGCGTTGTGTAGAGAACATTGACAATACAGTAACCGTATATATGAATAAATCATTTCAACTATAAATTATTTATCCATGTACATAATTATTTAACATGATTTATTATTTATATATTATTTATTACCTTGTGTAATCACAGTCAGTGACTGTGATTACACAAGGTAAAAACGATATAAATACTGTTCGTTTTCTCACACAAACTGCTCGTTTCGTGTCTTAGGCCATCAATGTGTCCTTACATTCACGAGTCATTAAATCATGTTAAATTTTGACTTCTCTGTGCATGCTCTTTAAGGTGGACCCCCTTAACCTCCAGTGTATGACTGATAGACAACAACAGTTTGACAAAACAAAGACACCTACATCTTGGATGCCCTTGAGGTAAGCTAAAACATATCAAAAATTCATTTCAAAGTGAACTATCCCTTTAAGACTTTCATTCATTTTTGAAACACAAATTAAGATGTTCATGATAAAAACTCTAGAGATTGTGGCCCCTCCAATGACAGCTTTGCAACCACCAAATTGACTCTTCAAAGCGTTTATAAAGAGATCATAAAAATTAATCCAAATGAATTGAGCGAATTAGACCAATTTTTTTGAAGCGACAATGATGAACAACAGATTAAATTAAAGCTACACTGTGTAACTCTTTTAGTTTATTCTTAGCTAAAACACTTAGTTCTTTCAAAAATATACGTGCTCATTAATGTATATTTACTTTGTTCAAGTAATAAAGTATTCTCTATAATATGCCATTGATAATAAATACGGGTAAGGGGTTCTAATGTCGGTTGCCATGTTGCCCCTCCATCTTGAAAGTACATTAGCCAAAGAGGGACGTACCCGTTAATTCAAGCTTCGCCTTTCGAGTTTACGTTTGAGTTAACACTCATGGACGAGGTCGAACTGGAAGCCATGTTAATCTTGGAGTACATTGGCCACCGTAAAAGTTAAAACGAAATCGAAATTGAGAGGAACAGA